TTTTAATAGTTAATTTGATACTAATATCGATATATTTTTGTCAAATTTTTATAATATCTTCAATTTTATATTTTATTAAAATTAATAACATTATCATTTTTTTAAAATCAAATAAGACCATATTATAATATCGATTGAGGTAAATAATAAAATGAAATATTAAAATCAAGATGTATCTCGCTGTATTGTGCGAATACCCTTCTAGTGTGTGTGTGTGTATATATATATACGCTAGGTTCGATCTCGTGTATTACACGGGGTAATTTGAAAAAATTAAATCATGTTAGGAACTTATCTTACATATATGAATGATCATCGAAAGTACGATGCTACTTCAGACTTATACTCTTGAAATAACTCTGAAGTAAGTTAACCCTATAATAAAGTTAAATGTGTTATTTTGAATAAATATAGACATATTTCTGGCAAAAAAAAAAAACCTTTTTATAGCCGACATGTTAACCAACAAAACTCGTCTCACAAACCTCCTTGACAATATCACCAAGTGATAGCTGAAAGCTGTCACGATAAGCTGAAAACACAAGCTGAAGGCTGTCAACAATAAGCTGTCAGGTTAGCTGAAGGTTGTCAGTGATAAATCTGTATGTATGATATTTGATAAGTTGTTGTTTGGTTGTTATACTGAATAAACAATCTGAATGGTAAAAATGACTATTTTTACCCTTCACATACGAGAAACCTTCTCATTCATTAAGAGATGCTACTTGTTATTTTTTTGTAAATTTACTTACTTAACTCCTTGTTTAAATTCAAAGAGGAACCAAATACGTTATAAACTATGAAAGGGTTTTTTAATCTTTGATTTTAGGGGGGACCAAATTTGTTATCAAAACTAAAATTGATGAATGGACAAATTTACCCCTTCTTAACGAAACTTTATTTAACAATGCTATTAACAGGAAGTCAGGAACTCCATCTGTTATGAAATGAAAAGTACAAGGACGACGATCGTTAAAAGATTCTTCAAGGGACGTTAGTCGTTAATCTTTGTAAACCATAGGGACCAAATTTGTATTTAACCCTGTGGTTTAAGTTAATAAATGTATTAATTAATTACACCTTCAAGAAATATTATATTTCATAAAAAAAAATTGAAGGGAATTTCTAATACGAACGAAAAAACGACTAAATTATTAAAAATATAATTTTAAAAATTTGATCTTAATATTAAATCTTGAAATTAAAAAGTACACAAACGTTGAATAATAAATTATGGGTAAATTGCATGAAAAAGTTGATTCTTATCTAAGATGTAAGTTTTAAACATTTCAGTACTGGGATAACTGGTTGAAGACTAATTTAAATTAAAAAAAAAAGACTAATTTTAGATTTTTAAAAAAACCTCATGTCACTAGCCACGTCAGCAAATAATATTAAGTTGAATACCACATCACTTGCCGTATCAACATGATAACAATAAAAATATCAGCAAATAATACTAATTTTAGTATTTTGTCGTTTAGCCAATAAAAATCTACAACCACCATTAATATCGTTATGATTACAAATAATATATGTAAACACCAAACATAGAAAAAACATCATAAAAACAATACAATTATATATCTAACGTGTTCCATAAATTGCAGTATCGTTACTATTATATTAGACATCTAATGTTGCGACTTAACAAAGCTTTTTAGTTTTAAATTGAATTGAATAATTTTTTTAAAATTTAAAAATAATATATTTTTAGAGTAAATTACATTATTGGTCCTTGTAGTTTTCTCGAAATCACACTTTACATCCCTAAATCAAAATAATTACAGAAAACGTATACGTGGTTGACAATTTCATGTCTTTGATCCCTTGCCCTAATCCCGTTAACTTTTTTAGTATATATGTTTGTAAAAGCACATGTACAAGTATATGGTTCATTTGAAAAACTAAACCTAAACCATCGATCATACCACTTACAAACACCAATACTCCGACCAACGTCTTCTCTACTTCTCTGACACCCACAACCGAAACAACCCTACCAACGCACCATCCACCAAATTTTAAATAAATTCCTATTTTATCCGGAATTTATATAAATACTTTACGTGTTTGTGTAAAACCTATTTTTTGATTAAAACGAAAACAAAATCTTTACACGTTTTTTTTGGATTAATCTGGATATCCAACTCGCTATGCGAGCCGACTAATCCCAAGACGACCACCTGCTTTGCAGATAGCCTGGAGTCACTGCATTTGAATCTTCGTGACCACAATGAGATTTTTATTCCTCTTTAGATTTGAACCCAAGACCTCCTGGTACTTTTGACTTTTGAAGCCAAGCTCAAATCAATCAGACACCACCCTTGTGATTTCTTTACACAAACTTACGTAACTTGCGTAAAGAATTTGCATAAAAATCCTCATTTGCGTAAAGATTTTTCTCGAGTTAAAATAAGGAGTCGTTTACCAAACGCTTACCCATACAGTACTTACCAAGTCACGTTACCTTGTTGGATGAATTTGATAAAAAAAAATTACTTGGTAAAAACGAGACAAGGACCAAGAGTTTTACCCGGTAAGTGAGTCGATAGCTCTTAGCACAATTAGTATTTACCGAGTAATTGTTGCATGTCGTTTTTGTTGACTAAAATATTACTCAGTAAGAAAATGATGGTACTGAATTCACCCAATAAATACTTACCAGATAAGTTTTTAGTAAAAGTAGCTTAAAAAGATGAATTTATTTGAAAAAATGAACTATTTTGGTCAACTTGTGGAATGGGAGCATCCAGAGTGGACGAGAGACCCACATCTCATACGGGTAGGGCCCATGCACCCGAAAACATTACAACCTCGCGGCCTACAATATAAAATCTCTTCCCGATGCACACTGTCCACTTTCTCACTTTCTTTGCATATCCCCCAAACCACAAATCACATTTCTTTCCCTTTGATTTCCCAACAGACCTTCAAGTTAGGGTTTTCGTCATTTCAATCGCGCTGCTGATGCTTCTCCATCGACGTTTTCTCAAGGAAAAATCTTCAATTTCCGAGGTCTCTGTATAGAATTTCATTTAATCGAGGTAAAAAGGAAAAATTTGTAACTTGTTTAGATTAAAATCAACGAGCTGAAATTGAAGGATGTTTTGGATTGACTTACTTGTTTGAAAGGCGTGGAGATTTTATTTGTAATTGTTCTTTAACGGCCCTAGATTGTTTCGTATATGGAATGGATTTTGTTTGCTACTAAAGCTGAAAGATTCGTATTTTTTTTTCAGTGAAGATAGCCGTTATTTCGAATTGGAAATTTGTGATTTGTTTTTGTTGTAGAAGGATGAATTTGATTGTTCTAAGTACCTGTATTTTGTAGTTAGGAGAAATACTAGTTATCTAGGGTTTTATGGAAATTTTGTTTTGATTTGTGGTGAATTATGTGATCTGTTATTGCTGCAGTTTGATTCTTGTGGAATATTGGGATCTGTTTTTGCTCTGGTGTTTTCTGATGGATGACACTGGGGAAGATTCTAAGTATCCGCCGAATTATGGATTGAATCAAGGTTATGGGTCATCGCAGCACCCTAAGGCGTCGGTTCATAATGTACCTTACGTGCAGTCTCAGCAGATCGTTAAGTATGTTGACGAAGATGATGATGAAGTAGAAGAAGATGATGAAGAAGAAGAAGAACAGGAACAAGAAGAAAGAAATGCTGGTGATGATGAAATGAATGGTGCTATCCAGAAGAATGGTGATGATGATAATGATAATGATAATCAATATGATGATATTAACATGAATGATGATGATGATGGTGAAAATCATAATGGGAGAAACGACACTGTCAGTCTTCAGAGGCATCCAAAGAAGAGGAAGTTGAAGAGCTTGTTATCAAGTTATGAATTTGCACCTCGAGTGCCACCTCCAACAATGGCTCCAACTTCCACAGCAAAACCTTCATTTGGCGGAAGAAATACACTTACCGACTGGAGTGAACACGAGACTTTTGTGCTGCTAGAAGCTTGGGGAGATAGGTTTCTTCAATGTGGAAGAAAGAGCCTCCGGTCTGAAGAATGGCAAGAAGTTGCAGACAGAGTCTCTCAGGACTCAAAGATAGAAAGGACAGATTCTCAATGTAGAAACCGTTTGGATACATTGAAGAAGAAGTACAAGAAGGAGAAAGCTAATTTAGAGCGAAGCAGAAGTGTAAATACTAAATGGGTATATTTTAAGAAGATGGATATGTTATTATCGTCAAATCCCCATCAGACAGGCCTTTCACGTGGAGTCGATTCAGGGGAGAATGCCTTCTTGAACCCCAGTGCAAATGGAGTGGATGAGATGAGGGATAGTGCTGGTAATTCAGATTCTCAGGATGATGATGATGATGATTCGGATTTGGTTCCACCCAAAAAATCAAAGTCCAAAGCAGATAGAAGTGGTGGAGTTTCATTCAAATTGCTTGCAGATTCTATTAATAAATTCAGTGAGATATATGAGAAGATTGAAAATAGCAAGATACAGCAGATGATAGAGCTGGAGAAAATGAGGATGGATTTCCATAGGGACTTGGAACTGCAAAAAAGACAGATACTTGATAGAGTGCAAGCCGAGATTACAAAAGCACGACAAGGAGATTATGAAGACAATGATGTTTCTGCTGAAAACATTGGCGGGTGATGTATCTTTTAACCAGATTTTATTCATAAACCTTCTTATTAGCATATTAACTTGTTGTGTAATATCTGGGATGCAACTTCTGTTGGGATTCTAATTCTATACCCAATAAGTTAATTAATGTATTTTAGTTGGTATAGAAGTAAATCCTTGTCATCTGCTTATTTTGCTATTCATCATCATTTTAGTTGCTACATCTTTTCTAACACTTACTTCTTCCCAAACCCAGGAGCCTGATTTTGGATTGTAACATGAAGACAATTTTGATTTTCTTGTTTTCTAGAGATTGGATAAATAGACATTTATTTTATATATCTAAGGATAAATTTCATCTTTATGCTCTTTCTATATTGTGATGTTGACTTCTTTTTGATTTAGTGTATTCACTTCCTTGGAACTCTGCTACTTTACACTATTATAAACTATAACTGCAACTTCTAAATAGATATGCTTGCAATGTTTGAAAATTTCCACTTGTTACATGTTTAAATCCCTAAATCAAGACTGTGAGATTACAATGTATCAGTCTCCTGTGAATTCTATTGATTCTTACCTTTTTAGGAACAAACAATCTTAGTTCACCTTCTGTTCTTGGATCATTTATCATCTTAATTACCTTTTAAGATTAAGCTTTTGAAGGGTTATAGGAGATAAGAAGATAGAAGAGTCTAAAGATTCACTATTAACTTCTGGGTATAGTAGCAAAATACATTGTTCTCCTCCATTTCTTCTATGCACCCTGGGTGGGTGTTTTCAGGTTTAGGAGAAAGGATCTACTTGTATGAATGGTTTTAGTTGGCACATTTATGTGAACTGATGGCTGGTTACATCTTGTTAATATGATGATCAGATGATCTTGGTTTGTCGTAGGGAGTTAGATAACGTGCACACACAATTTAATGTTATTCTACCTGTTATATTTTCTGATCACCTGTATGCCTTTTCATCGTGCACAAGCTGGGAAATAACCTCTTTGATTATAGTGGTTGAGGTAAGGTCTGCATACATTCTATCCTTTCCCGACCCTACTTTTGACGATTTACTTTGTTCGTTTAGTTGGATAACCTGCTATTTTCTCTAGATTTCAGACTAAAGTTTCCATTTTTGATTGTATTTTGATTTTGAAACCACAGTTGTTTTCTTTTTTAGGAGCAGCAGAAGTTGTTGTCGTTCAAATGGGTAACTCACTTGATCTTTTTTCTACGTGGTGCTTGAACTATCTTTTGGAGCCTAATTAACTTAGGGGTTGTCTGGTTGGTTTTTCATTAAGTACTATATGGATAAAGTTGTTTGTGTGGATTAATCTGTCTGTATAGATTGAGAAGGGTTTTTTTCATCAATGGAAGAAGCATGTTTTTTAATTGGAAAGACATATTTGGAAAAAACTTGGTTTTCAACATAAAGCTCTCCCTAGAAGCTTATTAACTAAATCACTTCTATATCATTAAGCTACTACCAAACATTCATGTATAACTTACCCAATAAGCTATGAGTCTCATATCTAAATTGCTAACAAACAGGACTTTTGGCACCCCATAAGTTATGACTGCTGCATTCTCCTTAGGATTGTACTTCAAGATTTCATTCAAGATTGGTTCCAAGTTAATAGTTGTATGACCGTCATGGTTTTAAGCGAATTCATTTATAGTCGTTTGGCGTTCTCCTTTTTGTGGGTCCCATCTATAAGAAGAAACTGAAGATGTGGAGGGTCGAATTTATTTGATCGATTAAAGATGAGACCTACAAAATGGTAAATGGATGCACCCCTGATCCCTTCCTTTCATTCTCCATCATGCACACGTTAGTCGTACTGGATTCGCTCTCGAGTGGTTGCACATCTCGGTCAGGTATCTCCCTACTTGGATGCATTTTTGTTCGATTTTGGTTTTTGCAGGTTTTATGTGGTTATAGTAGGAACTATTATATGGTTGGATGTCGAGGTCAGAGCTATTGGGTTGGCACGACTATTTGCGTTTAGGGCTGTAAACAAACCAAACAAACATGAACGGTAAACGAACAATTTTTTTTTTGTGTTCATGTTCATTCGTTAAGAAAATGTGTTTGTTCTTGTTCGTTTATGCTTGTTAGTTAAGATGCTACACGAACGTAAACTCTTAACGAATGAACATAAATATAACAAAATGAAAAACAAAAACCGAGTAAATAGAAGAGAAAAAAGAATTCTAAAAAGTTAACTTAAATAATGATTTCACATATTAATGACGTAGTATATAAATACATCTATATATATATATGAACGAACATTAAAGAACGTATAAGACCATTGTTTATGTTTGTTCATTTAACTAAACGAACGAAAAAATACGTCCGTGTTTATTTATTCATTAAAAAACAAACTTCTCGCTAGACAGTTCGCTGAACGTTTGGTTTATTTAGAGCCTTATTTGCGTTGGCTGCTACCGTTTCATGGTGTACGCATCACTTGTTATGGTGTTTTAGTGTCGTATTTTTATGAAACTCTGGTAAGAGAAAAAAGCAATTTTTTTTGAAGTAAATTATATTTACATATAACAAATACAACAATAAATCCACTCACTTTTGAGTAGGATTGAACCTCTTGAAAAGTTAGAAGACCATTGACCTGGATACCACTAGACCCCCACTATCTATACATTAAATTATAAGAAAATGTTTGATTGGTTTTTCATTAAGTCCTATATACATAAAACTGTCTTTGTTGATTAATCTGTCTGTATTGAGAAGATTTTTGTTAGGAGGGTTTCAATAAATCCATCAAGTGAGGATTGAACCTCTTAAAAAGTTAGAAGACAATTGACCTGAATACCACTACACTCCCACCACCTCTATATTAAACTATAAGAGAATATTTGGTTGGTTTTTCATTAAGTTCTGTATGGATAAAACTGTCTTTCTTGATTAATATGTCTATATAGATTGAGGAGATTTTTTTAGCGGGGTTTTTCATAGATGAAAGGGACGTATTCTTAAATAGGAGGGCAGGTTTGAAGAAAAAAAAAGCTTAGCTTTTTACATAAAGCTCCCCTAGAAGCTTATTGAATAAATCACTTTCTATATCATTAAGCCACTACGAAACAATCATGTATAGTTGACAGATTAAGCAGTGAGTCCCATTAAGTTCATTAAGTTACTAACAAACAAGCTCTAAACCAAAAATAACAGGTAATACGTTCAAGTTTCAACTATGTTTACATGTTTTAAAGAAAGGCCAGTTAACTAATTGAATCCATATGCTACATCCTGAGGCTAAAGTACTCAAAACATCTTTCGTTCTTGTGGGAAAAGTGGCCTTCGTGAGGCCACTTTCTGTCGAATAACCCTTGTTCCTGGTCTCAAGGCAGTTCAAATCTCTGCGCTTGTTGGCTGAGCAACCACCGTCTCCGATCACATGAAATGTTCATCAATCACCCGTTGTGTTTAAATTTTGAAGCGGGTCTTTCTCTTGAGGGGAGTTGTGACCACAAAGTCCCATTGAGCAATTAGTTCTAAAATGTGTTTGTGTGTACCTGGAAAATCACCAAAACTAATGACAACTCAATTTGTTTAAGATGTACAAGAAAAATCTGGAGGGGAGGACATACAACGAGAAGCCAATGAAGGGAAGCGACCACATATTCACATGGACGCCATTCTTGAGATCGCTTAAAAACATGTAGAAAGCTGAAAACAGAGGAACAAAAGCAAAGTATAGTAACTTATAGGGGATAACTAATAGTATATTGTGTTGAGATGATCGTGGGAAGTTAAAACTTTTAAACACACACACACATACACACACATATATATATATATATATTATATAAGATATTATATAGGGTTGGGGTTCTCGGTGAGAAAAGTTATAGTGAGAAGGGTAAAGAGGGATCTCCACTCTTGGATCAATCCTAATTGAATCTCAACATTAATGAGATGCACCATCTCAATTCCCGTATCAAGTGCAATTCATGGGGATCAAGGGTCCAAAGCCCTTCTTACGCTTCTCATCTTAACTCCTATTCTCACACGATCCTTCGTCTATATACATATACATACATATAAACACACACACACACACACACATATATATATATCCATAAATTTGTGAGAACCTTAAGAGACGGTGCATCATGTGCTATTTCACATGATTTTTTTCATCCAAGGCTAGGATTTAGGGTATTTATCAACGTACATTTGTTTCACAATGTGAAAAATTTTTACGTGTTTATGAAATAAAAATTACAAGTGAAACAAACACAAAGTTAAACATATATATTTTGATTTATAATCAATACCTTAAATCCTACCCTTGGTGGAAAAAAGATCATGTAAAACAGTATCTTAGAGGTAAACATTCTCACGGTTATCACAATATATGGGTTTCTCATTTAAAACTTGGACAAAAGCAATTTTGTTTACAAGAAAGATAAATTTATAGGAATTTTCTTTCGATAGATGGTTAAAACATTGTGTGTTTAGGCAATAAATTAGAGAGAGAGAGATCTACCATAGGATGATCTCAATGCCATCATAAGCAACTTTGTATGCTTCTTCTAAACGTCTTGACAATTGCATACGTCATACCAGCAGAAAAAAGGTTACTGGCCAACTAAGCGAAAAGAGTCTCAGACCCATGGATCAGATTTAGCAAACCATATATAGACCATCAGACCGTCTGCAACAGAAAATTATAATGCCAAGAAACATAAAAACAGAAGTCCAATAAATAGATGAAAATGGGGGAGCCAAGAGAGAAACCTTACAGAAGTCATTTTCATGGAGCTTGATGTGTGGAATCTACATCAATCTTCCCAACTGCCTCAAGTATCGATGAATATGTAATAACATCATATTCAAAACCGCAAGACCTCATCTCTCTCATCAGTTTTGCAGCCTCCTCAAACATGCCTGCACGACTAAGGCAGCCAAGAAGCGTGTTATAAGTGACGCCATCCGGCTGCACCTTTGAATGCTTCATTTTTTCAAACATAACCATTGCCCGTTGTGGGCCACCACTCTTAGCTAATCCGTTTAAAATTATGTTATGCGAGTTTATGTCAGCCGCACAACCATTTTCTTCCATGTTCCTCATCAAGGAATATGCTTCATCTATCGAACCAGCCCTTACCATCGCAGACATGAGGGCGTTGTAAGCATATATATCTGGAACAGCGTTGACTTTCTTGATCTCATTAAAAAGATCGATAGCTTCTGTCAAACGCCCAACTTTTCCTAAGTTTTTTATCATGACAGCATAAACCCGAGAGCTAGAAGACCCACAATTCTCCCTTAGTTCTTGAAACAACTCGTTTGCAGCTTCATACCGTTTTGCTTTTCCAAGACTGTTGATCAGGCTACAGTATGCAGCCGGGCAAGGAGGAAAACCCTTTTCGTCCATTTCCTCGAGAAGCAATAAAGCTTTCTCCACTCTATTCGTCTTACAAAAACCATCAATGAGGATAGAGTAGGTGAAGGAGCTAGGAACAATACCGTTCTCCTTCATCTTCTCAAACAATGAAGAAGCCTCAGATGGTGAAGCTTTAGAGTCGAAAAGAGCCTTAATCATAGTGTTGTATGTCACTACATTGGGTTCACAATTAAAAAATTTCATCTCCTCAAAGACCTTCTGAGCATCAGCCAGACGACCAACTTTTCCCAATATGTTGATGACGTTGTTTATGAGAACGACATCGGGCTTACAACCCTGTTTTAGCATATCCCTGTATATCCCGTATGCTTCTTCAACCCTTCCAGCTTTCGCAAGCCCCCTTATTAACTCTGTATAAGTGTAAACGGTGGGCGCACAACCCTTCTCTTTCATCTCCACCACTAAATCTATAGCCTTTTCTACCTTACCATCCCTGAAGTATATTCCTAATAAAGTTGTATAAATCTTAGCATTAGGATGAAAACCATTTTCCTTCATTTCATCAAACAACCTTATAGCAGGGTTATGATGACCTAATTTGGAAAATGCCGACATTAGAGCGCTGTATGTTACTGTGTCGGGGAAGCAATTACCTTCATTACACATCTCACTGTAGAGATCATACACCTTATCGGGATGATTTTCTTGCATTAGCATCAAGATAATGGAGTTATAAGTACTCGCAGTCGGCTTGCACTTGCGACCTTTGACTTGATAAAACAACGAAAGTGCTTTGTTGATCATCTTCGCCTTGCCTAATAGTCTTACAACTTCAGATAAATCTTTAGGGTCAATGACAACTGATTGTCGAACCATCTCTTGGATCATCTTCCACATATCCCCAAACATTCCAGAGTCGGCCAAACAACAAATTAAAGTCATGTAAGTAGTGGAATCGTGCTCAAAATGCCTTCTTTTCCCAGCCCACTTGAAAAACTGCATCTTGACATTGATGGCTACATCTATATTCAAAACCTCACGAACCAATCGATGATCGACTCTTAACTTCAGTACCTCTAGAGCCTTTTCTGCATCAGGCCCCCACTTAAATATCTTCAAAATCCTAATAAATCTCTCGTCCAACGTCCTTGCAGATCCACTCTTTCTTGATGTTCTTTGATTGATGGGTAAATTCCTGGTATCTTCTCTGGGACCCGACAAACGAAACATTTGAACAATTTCACTTTCTGTGATGAACAACAAGTGAACACCTTTTAAGATGATATATTTTTCCCATCTGAATTGAACTGAACCCATCATATATGCATAACTTCATTAAGAAGGACAAGCAGGCAAATGCATAAACCTTTAGACTGAAAAATATGGTACTTCTGAACTTCAGCAAATGACGCATCTTCATTTGGATGTCAAAAATGGTACAATCAGACTTAAGATGACAAGGATTTGAAACTTCTAGACAACGATTTTCTTGCCAAATTAAATGAATTCATATGAACTGAATAATGTTTGTGTTGCATTCGCAACATGCCAGAATCAATTAGCATTAAAAATACCACAATTCATCAAAAATAAGAACAGCAGCATTATAGAAATCACTGTGTTGAGCTAAAGGTTCAAATGTATCTCCTTTGTGAAACTGAGGGAGCAAGTCTTGTTAATGAAAATCATTATGTTTGGCATGAGAAATCAAACTGCAGATTTCCTTCAAGAAGAGGGATTATAGAATACAGCAGATGGTGCAAAAGTAAGACAGGGAAGAAAAGAAGGATAGACTGTCTTTTGAAGATGTAAAGCAACAAATATACAATGCACACTACCTGTTTGCTTAATTCTGTCAGAGAGAAAAGGCATAGTAAAGATCGACCGTCGCAAACCAATTGACTTGTGCGTCATCTTTCGCATCACTTGACAAAATATTGCTGAAATAAATACCTAGTCTTCACAATTCCAAATAGTCGAAGGAGTTATTGGACTGAGATTAGAATATGGCATGACAAAATGAAAAAGCAATCGCAATTCTGGGAAGGAAGATATCAAACACAGCTTAAAGAAAGTACCATTTGTAGAGGGAATGTTTACCGTTCGCCGGCGTCGCAAAATTCAGCAACGGGAATCGGAAATCGGAAATCGGAAATCGTAAATCTGAAGTTTCGATTTGACCTCTTGCCTGATACGACGCCTTATATTTGGGGATTTCAGATTCCCCTAAGTTGAGGAGGTGATGGGAGGCGCCAGTGACGGAGGATTTAGGTTTTCCTTTTTTTTTTTTTTTTTCCGATTTTCCGTCATTTTTATGGTTGTGATTTTACAACTTTACCCCTCATAGTGTTTCTGGATGAACTTTTTACTTTCGGTTTAATTAGACTTATTGATCTATCTGACTTATTCGCATAATTCAATTGAGTTGTTTACTTACGGCTTATTTGCACAAAACATGGTTTAATCGCACAGATATAAATGATGTGTTGTCCCCATTCAGCCACAAAAATAACGTCCCTACCATTTATTTAAAGCATCGTCTCCTTCCACATGAGACACTCATCGTCAACCTCTTTAGGATTTTTTTTTGTTTTGATGTTCAAATAATTAATATTGGAGGGGTAAATCAGCCATTTATGTTATTCAGGCTGTTGGTTCAGATAAAAAAAAAGTAAACAACAACACTCATTTATCCAGACAAATTTATCCGGACAGACAAATTTATCCATATATAACTTAATAAAAAATTTGGTAAACAACCCATTACATTAGAGTTGTTCATGGACGGGACAACCGATTAGACCCGACTCATCTGACCCGTTAGAAATAGGGGATTGGACAACCATTATCGAGAAAATGAATGGGTCCTGGTTTGTTCGTTAAAATTAACGAACGGACATGAGCAATGTAAAAATAAATATGGACAGGTTTGCCTGGCACGTTTATGTTTTATAATTAATATTATTTTCTATCATTAAATAAATTATACTAGTATATTTTAAAATTAAATTATTAAAGTTATAAGATGGAAGTTGGGACTATTTGGTTTTTTTTTTTTAGAACCCAAAAGGCTATACATGATCTTTGTTAGCATTTTTATGTCAAAAGTCCTAATCGATCAACAATGGATAGAGTCAGTGGTTGTTTAAAGTTTTAATTGCAATAATATTTTTCTTTTATTTTTTGGTTCCATATTTGTTAATTAAGAGTTACACCTTTTACACCTGTTGGCAAACCCGGCCTGTTTATAGGATGGGCAATGGCAAATTGTCAAACAAAAAAAAATAGCTTGGATTTACAATATTAAGCCCAAAAAACAAAGTTAGGCCCGCGCTTCTCAAATGATCAACTCTATCTTATATAATATTGGACATAATTATAAATGTTTACGAGCAGGATGACCCGTTAGACCCATCAATGTCCGGCCCACTATAAAGTGGGCTTCGATCATCATTCTCGAAAAATGGACTGGTTTGAACTGACTTGTTAAAATTAATGGGCGGACATGAATAATGGAGAAAAAAAAATATTTGGGTAAGCCCGCCAGGTCGATTAATATTTTTATAATAATTAACTTTTATAATTTAAATTTACAAATAAAATTGAAAATTCTTAATACCTATCAATTTCTACTTAATTATGACTTATAATAATAACATTCTTTAAAAATCTTAAATTTGAAAATTTAATTACCTCAATTGATCAATTCCTCTTATTATCTCATTTAGTCATTTTCTTTATCGATACTTTATATTTAGTAAAACAATTTCTTTATACGTATACTGTCATGTATTTACGTCTGGTTTTAAGTTGAAAAAATTGTTATGTATTTTGAATTATTTTACATAACTTGTGATTTTATATAAGTTTCAAATTGTGAATAATTGGTTTAGCTGACGTTTTTTTTTTCTCTATTGATGTTTTATTTAAGATAACAAAACCCAGATAAATCTAATTACGTTTTTACTTTTACACGTATCCACATACCATACTCCACAAAAGCATGTGAGACCCCAACCACTGGTTTGTGTTCGTGTTCTGGTTTCGATTACCAAATTTATGGATGATTGTCAATCTTATAAGGTGTCTTAGGGGTTGTGTTACCAAACACTTATTCGGTAAGTGCTTATCGATAAAATTCAACATTATTACATACTTATCGGGTAAGATTTTAGTCCACAATCACGACATCATATACAACAATTTACCCGGTAAGCGCTAACCGTGGTAAGAGTCGTCACCATCACTTACCGGGTAAGACTCCCGGTTCTTGACTTCCTTCTTACCGGGTAAGATCATTAGTCCTTGTCATATTCATCCAGTAAGGTAATGTGACTTGGTAAGTGCTTACCCGGGTAAGCGTTTCGTAAACGGCCCCTTGTTCAAATAAGTGATGAGTTAATTGTATTATTTTATTAAACACTGATTGGGTAAAAAAGACAATGATACCCTTCATCCCACTACGACTCTTCTCCCTATGTTTTAATCAAGGCAAAACCTTGTTTCTTTTTTTATCGAGAGAAACAATGGTTGTCACTGGTTAAATTCCATTCCGAATAATAGTTGAACTTCGAGAAATTCAACTAGGCTTTGGTAGCCCTTGCTGATTCACACTACATGGCTATTGGAGCTCGTTTAGAAATCCCTTTTTATACGTACGCTTGAACAAGCGATTTTTCATCACAACATCGCTATTTTGGTACCCGACAACAAAAGAGACTGAAAGACAAATAGATCATAAGTTCAAATGGTTCGTGGAAATCCGGATAACAGAAAAATATAACAAATTGAATTGAAACACTACAATAATCCAGTGCCATTTGTAAATAGCCAAGCTGCGTTTTTTTAGCCTTTAACCTCCTAAGAGGTCAGAAATTCAAACAGCACCATGGGTGAGGAAGGTGTGAGTTTATTTGTTGCATTTGCCGTATGTAAATATTACATACTTAAAAATACTACATTCATATGATCAATTGTGTTTCGATAATCGTTCAAGTCATTTGGTGGATTTGCTAACGGTGATTGCCTACGTCCCATTAATAGTTCTGACGGATGTTATTGTCGATGAATAAGTAATTGCAAAATTCAATAAAAATACAGATATACAAATTAAATTATTATTAGAATTTTAAACCTAATGAAATGAGAGTTTGGTTCGTTTAAGGAATGTTAATGGATATTCTATTAAATTGTTAATATCAGTAGATAAAAAAAACCATCAAAAAAATGTCAGACCCACGTCTTCCGTCTAAAACCATTTAACGTCGTGGTTGTGCTACCATCCAAAATCAAACAACGGTTTATTTGTTGGTATTCCCGTAATCACCACCATATTGGCACATTCAGCTTGAACACATCCATTTGCTAGCATTATCAGTATAAACTTCCCTCATTCTGCTTTCCACTGGTCTCAAAGACCTCGAAATCTCTTCAATCGGTTTTCGTGGCATCTCATATCCCAACAACAATGACGAAATAGAAGGAAGACAGTGCTATCAATCATGGTCTCGTTGTTGACCAAATAAAGGGCATACGATGAAGGCTGGTCTCATCGTCGACCAAAGGTATCAGACATAACGGGGAGGGGGAAGGCAACAATGAGGACACATCTTTAATCCCCCAATTTAGGGGGTTATTTGAAACAACTTATGTTTTTCTACGAAAATGTTTCTCAACTTATTATAATTTAGAATTGTTTAACTTATTTAAAAACTCATTATTACTGGTTTGACACCGGTATAAGTTGTTTATCAAAACATTTAAAAAATGCTTATTACCGATGCCACATCGAAATACATCAATAAGTTGTTTTTATGCGCAATCCCAAACACCTCCTTAGTAAGGATTCGTCAACTGTACCAAATGAATGACCAATTCTGTTATATGAATCAAACATTGTTAATTATTTCATCCGCACTCATTATTTTGAGCCCAATTCTATTAACGACTGTTATTTTCATTCCTCATATGTTAACGTTACATACTAAATTATCATTTAAATATTTTATTAATTTCATTGTTTAAATAAAAACTTATTAAGTTAATTTTAATTAGTAAATTTCTAGTTTACTTTTAATTAAGATACATGACAAATTACATGAAAAAGTAACGTATTTTAACTTGATTTTTATTTTGAGTAATGTATTTTCAAAATTTTCATTTGGGTATCTAAGATGTAAAATTTTAAATATTTAAATACTTTATTGAAGAATTAACCGGTTACCATGCTAATATGATGAGTGATAAGATATACAACTTATTTTTATTTACTATTCAAACTAATTTCATATAATTATTTAAGATGATTTATTAAATGCACCTAATTTCAGAACAAACGCCTTGGAATCCTTCAATAGCGTACTCAACACAAAAATGGCGGGAACATAAACAGAGAGCTTGGAGGAACACACTTTTTCTAGGGTTTGCGACTAGCCACTCAGCCATTGGAGTTTCTTCATCATCTGTCTTCTCTCTTTCGCACACAGAAACAAGCAGAGATGCCAACATACAAGATCAGGGACATCAATGTGGAATTCCCCTTTGAGGCGTACGATTGCCAGCTTGTTTACATGGAAAAAGTCATCCAATCTCTTCAAGAAGTACGATTACTGTTCATCATCACGTATATAGTCGAAATATATGTCTATATTTCATAGAGTTCACTTATGCAATGATTTAGATTATTTTGGAATTCTAAGCACATAGTTTAATACGGCGTTACGTGATCATTCAGAGTCTTTTTTGATTGAATTTATTGGTATTTTAGCTTGGTAACATGACAAAATGAAACTAGGTATTAATGGGGAGTTGTGGTTTGTTAAATTCAGACCATACTAAGGAACACCAAATTTTGATAACTAAATTAACATATCCAGACCAAATTACATCAATATGGCGTTCATCCATTTGCTAACGTGATTAGTACCGAGGTAAAGAGGTTTACTTGATATGCTATCGATGCCCTAATCAAGGTAAAGTTCATCACTATACCAGGTCAAGACCACTTCAGAGCATTGTTGCAGTTTAATTATCTCGATTGCTGTTCAATGCTAATACACACACACACGACACCTCTCTCCCTGATACGAAACACCTTTGCAGATGGCTTAGTGTCTTAATTTAATTATAGAACTATCGTGTTACATGAAATTTGATGTCTACTTCAGATGCAGCGTATTAAGCTTTTTAAACCATTTAAATGGAGCAGACTTGATGGTACTGGCTTTGTCTCTGTCGATATAACTACTTTGCAATTGTGCATAATAGCGTATTTATTAAATGCATTGCATGTGAAAGCTTAGTTGTAAGTAGGATGGATTTTTTTGCATGTCGGTTTTAAGCATTGGGAGTGTCTTCAGAGCTGGTGGCTGCTTGTCTAGCTTGTTCAGTTAAATATGATTTTTTTCTCTTCATGTGGCAGAGGTCTAACGCTTTACTTGAGAGTCCTACTGGAACTGGCAAAACATTGTGTCTTCTGTGTGCCACTTTGGCCTGGAGAAAGAGTTTGGGGGATTTCTCGACTGGTAAGAGTGTAAAGAGAGTTCAGGACCCAGGTAACAAACACTCAGAAGATTCATCGTCACAGACAGAATCATCAAAGCTTCCTACAATAATATATACTTCACGCACTCACAGCCAGATTCGGCAAGTAGTTCAAGAGTTGAAAAGAACCGTCTACAGGTCAGGGTTGATAACAACGATTTCAGACACAACAATTTTCTGCTCGAATTTTATATGATAATAGTGTGCTGTGATGGTGTTCTAAAATAAAATGTCAATTATTAACCTTCTTGCTACTCATTCAAGGTGCAAACAATCTGCTTTTTTGATATCTGAATATAGTTGAACAATAAGTTTTGCACCCTTTTTAATGCCCTCATTCTGTGGTCATGCATGGTGGATAAATTTAATTGCTGCAAGGTTATTTTGTAAATTTGGTTAAGTACTTACATTGTCATATTACTGATATAGATGGTAGCTTCTATTGGTTCTTTAATCCTTCATATTTTCTGCATACTGTGTGATTCCGTGTATATGCATGAGTTAATGTATCAAGTTCTTAATATTATGTGCTCAAGGATGATAAAGAACTCTTTGAGCATAATGAAAGTCTTGTGTAGAAATAAGTGATCTTTGGTTTTTTTTGGTACATCATGGAAGATGAAGACTGAAAGGGATTTAAATGCTGCTTTTGTTGTTTCAATTTTCAAGGCTCAATCATGGTGGAATCAGATTTACAACAAATTAACTTGGTTCGTTTGCTGTTTTCAAGCTGCTATTTTCCTTTCATGCTGTTCACAGAATTTACACTTGTCTTTGTTTTTGTCATAATTTCATCTGTAGGGGAAACCCCTAAACATCGTGCATAATAAAAACAGTGAATCTGATTAAAAACTTTCTGAACTTTCGAATGTAGTCTATGTTTGTGTGATTGAAACTTGTACTTTATGTTAGTAAACTACACACAACAATCTGATGTTTGTATTAGTGTCACAAACTCAAAATTTCTGCAACCACCGTTTATTCATCATTTGTATTATTGATGTTTATCCTTAACAATTGGTTGATGTCCTGACATTGTCAGAGGCTCATTATGCTGCTTTGACCATTCATACATATCAATTACTTATGCAGACCCAAAATGGTTGTATTAGGATCACGGGAGCAACTATGCATTCACCCAGATGTAAGTCTACTTCATGGAAAAACACAGACAAATGCATGTCACTTCCTATGTCAAAAACGCACGAAACGATATTGTTCCCATTTTCCTCGTGTCTCAGGTAACATATTTCAGTTGGATGCTGTTGTTTCCTCCAATATACATGTTTCTATTACTTTCAGATTTTTTTATCTAGTAAATATTTTTTCTGTTGGGTGGGCAATGTTCTTTCCAGTGTCTTCTAACTTCTAAGTGGTGTCATAGAAAATAGTTGTTTTATCCACCTAGTATTATGTTAATCTATATTTGCTGGCCAAAGATGTGACCATGCCTGCAAGCTTGCTTAGTGAGTAACCAAGATCTATCTACTAGTCAATGACTGCCTTCTACACTAGTTCTGCGAATCATATCCATGTTTAGTATATTTCAGAGGATTATCTTATTCGTGAAAGAAATCCGTACCCTTAAAACATGGCGTTACCCTGATTTTTCGAAGAGGCCCAAGGCTCAAGGGATAGTTTGGTTGTCTATCATTACGTAGAAGGTGCATATGCTTCTTGTACTCCAACTTTGGGGGATTACCTGTAGAAACTGGCAAAAATTGTCTAAACTGTATTTGTTGATATGGGCCTTTGGATCCAAGTCAATTTCATTCTTTTAAATTATATCAAGGCTTTTTGCTGAGGTTTGGCATAAAGTGCGGAATTTCAAATGTTTGTGTTAGGAATGCCTCCGTAGCCCCTTTAGAGGATAATCAGAAGAAAGTTGGCAAATGGTCAATTTGTGGTGTAAGAGTGGGGGCAAAATGTTGCCATCAAGCCATTCCAGTTGAGGAGCAGGAGTTCCCATGTTCAACCATTGACTTCTGGTTTCAAGCTTCTTTTACCTTTTATTTTATGACGTCTTGCATGTCGGAGCTTGTGGATCACACTAGAGCATCAAGCTTCCTATGTGCCATGGCTTTGCAAGAGCTGGGAAAGAAGCTTTGTACATGACTTCTCCCATGCATTTGCCAAAGAAACTATTTTCATAACTTCAATATGTGACCTTCCTGTCAATGAAGGAATAATCTGACTAGTAGCTCTAAGGTTTTCCCTTTGCTATGTAGAGTTTGTCGTAGGTAATATTTTGGTGCGTTCCTATCTTTATCTTTTAGATTTAGAGGAATGAGTAATGTTGGTCCTTGCTCTAGGGACAAGCTTACAGTCAGTTCTCCTGAATCCTTGTATCTTTGTGTACTTGCACTGTAATACGGTAAACGTATATAGATTGAAAAAGAGTTTTGCTTTGTGATCATTATAAAACCACACTATCACATTTTATCTCCATTCAGCATCCATGAAGCAGATTATAAGTTCTCTATGCAGCCTTTTTCACAAGTGGAATATCTGTATGCAACCCTTGTTAGAAGCTTGTTTTCACCCATTGGCTTTGGAAAATACTGATCTATGTTTGTCTTTTTCTTTTGGCAGAATTTGTGAAAAATAATCCTGGTCTAGGGGATGAACCTATCGACATAGAGGACCTGGTCAATATTGGGAAAAGCAGTGGACCGTTGGTTTTCAGCCTTTATTTATGACCTATGACAAATACTACTGATTTGCAGCAAGGCACTAACACCTCACTCTAAATGCAGATGCCCTTATTACATGTCACGAGAGCTCCATAAGGTGGTTGATATCTTATTTGCACCATACAACTATCTTATCGATCCTGGCAACAGAAAATCTTTGAGCATTGAGTGGGACAACAGTGTACTAATATTTGACGAAGCTCACAATCTGGTAAGGTTAATACTTGATTTCTGAGCTTTTTTGTATTTTTGGTTTTGATTCAATGTATGTATACATGGCTATCTAATGCATATGGTAAATGGACTCTCTTTCATGTTCTATGATATATACAGGAGGGCATATGTGCAGATGCTGCCTCTTTTGACCTACCTTCTGGGCTCTTAACATCATGCATTTCTGAAGCACAAAACTGTGTAGACCTTGCTGTTGCAAGGAGAGATGAATCAAATGACAAATCATATAATCCAGATAATTTTGCAATTCTCAGAGGTATACTCTCTTTCGTCTATGATAGGAATGAAGTGAAGAAATATAGTAAATACCCCTGCTATGAGCCATCATATGTCTCAATTAGGCTGATGAAAATTGGTGCATGTTTAGTACCTTATGTCTTTTGTTGGATGCACCAAATTATCATTTCTTTATTTTAAAACACAATTTCTTCTCCAAAAATGGTATTTCATTGGAATAAAGGGTACATGGATAGCTTACAAAATCATTTTTTTTCCCTTGTGTCTTTTGTTGTTCTAAGTTACCTATGATTCTTGAGTACTCATCAACTCCATGAGCATATCTATTTTATTATAGAGAATTTTGCTTTTCTTTTCTCCAGCACTTCTTTTAAAGCTTGAGAAGCGGATTGCTGAAGTTCCTATTGACTCCAAAGAATTGGGTTTTACCAAACCTGGCCCTTACATCTATGAATTGCTTGGTGATCTGAATATCACACACAAAACGGCCAATATGCTTCTTGATACAATTGAGGAGGCAACTGTACTACTTGAAGAAGGTACAAGTGACTATTAAATCAGTAATGTTAAAGATTAATTGCTTGGAACTCAAAACTACTCTATGTTGCACTTATGGGTTTTTGGGCAAAACTCTATTAGTCTACAACTACAGCACTTCTTGCTTGGATTATTCCAAAAAGACAATCAAGTGCTCGTTATCTTATTTAATTCATCTGTTTTTTGAACTTCTATAACATGTCTTTATAATATTAACATTTTAAGCTTCAATCTATCTGTTCTACAGATGCAAAGACCACTGCTTCTCAAAAGACAAAGGGAACTGTGTGCAGGTTGGAGAGTATAGGAGACATACTTAAATTAATCTTCAAAGATGATGGTAACGCCCATGCCAAACATTATCGTGTAAGCTTGGATCTTGTATTTAGTACTTGGTGATATGTTTATATATTTACCTTTCCGCTCTCAAGGTTGGTAGTGAACTCTGGTAGGTTTATAAGTTTGAACCTTTTTTTATTCTTGACTTCAGGTTCATGTTCAGGAAGTTGAAGCAAGTTCCTCTGATGCCTTTAAAGGTAAACAAGTTTGCATTTATGTTCAGTTTCCTTGTATTAAGATTCTAATCCTAGAAGAAATTAAGTGTATCTGGTTATACCACCAATTTATCCTAAACTGTGATAAATTTTTGGTAGCACAGAAAATGATCATTTTCAAAGAATTGTACTAATCTATTTTCTAAAGAAGTAAGTCTGTCTTATCAGGTTGCAAGGATTATGTCTTGGCAGTTTTTATAGATATGAAAAGTTGAGGCTTAAGCTAATTTTGTTTAGGTCTGATTCGTGAAGAAATTGATCACTGTTAAATATTTGAGCATGTAAAAGAATGTTCAAAAGTTGATCAGACTGAAGCTAAATATTGAACTTCCCTAATTGTGTCAGACATCATACTTTCTTCTACTGGGTATACCAAAACATGAGAATTTTCTTATTATTTGGCTCTCTAAGAATACATGTGCACAAGCTTAAATATTTATCTCCTCCATTTGGAAAAACTAAAATTGGAAAATATGCTCACACATCAAGAATCTTTATATATAGTCATTGTAGTGTCTATTCATATGCATAATGCAAATGAGAATGCTACACATATTTTACAATGTTAGTTTTGCTGAGATAGTGTGTATTTTTAAAGTTATATATGGGTTAATTTAACCCATAAATGAATCCAGGTTAGCTTTAGAGAACCTCAGGTGAATACTTGATATGAGTTTCGTAGAACACCTAATAAGTACTCCCTCAATTGGGAAACGCCATGTAAAATCGTAAATGGAACCAAGCAAACAAATAAAACTTATTTTGCTGTTGTAATGTTTTTCGGTTCTTTCATAATGTCCATGGAAATGGGCATAGTCAATGAAGTGCATAAGCAAATATACACTTTTGTCAAACTGACATTCAAAGACACTGAATAATTGAATATCTTGCATAATATTATCTTTGTCTATTTGTTTGAAGTACAACATGGAGCATATTTTCTTTGCTTAGCAATGGAAGTTATGGCTATGAAAATGGTTCTCTTGACTGAGTTTATGCTATAGGAATCCACTTCAGTTGCTTTTGGTGATGCAGGCAAGGCATCTAGAATCTTCAGCTGGTGGTGTTTTAACCCTGGGGTTGCTATGGAAGAATTCTCCAGAAGAGGTGTTAGGTCTATTGTATTGACATCAGGAACTCTATCCCCTATGGATTCATTTGCTGAGGAACTGAAGCTGTAGGTTACTATCTAGATCTTTTCTTCCCTGGGATATTTTTATGTTTCCGGATAACTCATTCTTTTTTCTTTTCTGGCATCTAGTGCATTTCCAGTACGTTTGGAGAACCCTCATGTTATATCATCCAATCAATTATGGGCTGGCATCGTACCAGTTGGTCCATCTGGTCATCCATTCAACTCTTCTTATAGGACTCGGGATTCTGCAGAATACAAGCTAAATCTGGGCAATTCTATTGGTAAGTATGGTGATTTTTATGAACAAACGAACTATCAATTAGCTCATGTCATATCACTTGTTTTATTGGTATATTTTACAACTTATTGTGTTTGTATTTTGTTGAAAGGCTACATTTTTACATATTGATTTTCCAGAAGCCATGGATCCACACTGTATGATAGCTCATGATAAGTGTACCAACACGTTTGTGTCACTGCTATGTAGATCTACTAAGAGTTGCACCCTAATAGGTGCTTTTAACTCTCTCATGATGCCCATTAAACTTTGTTTTCCAGTCAATTTTGCTCGAATTGTACCAGATGGGCTGCTAGTTTTCTTCCCATCGTACTACCTTTTGAACCTATGCATTGATTACTGGAAGAACGTGGTATGATATCTATTACAAATGCTAAAATCTGGTAGATGCTTGCTTGTACTTTCTGATAAACTTGCACCATGTTTCCAGAGTGTAACTTCAACAAATTCCAGTACCATATGGGAAAGGATCTGCAAACATAAGCTACCGGTTGTGGAACCTAGACAATCTTCTCTTTTTCCCCAGGCAATTGATGTGAGGAACTGATTCAATTTCAATCAGCAAAATTGTTTTCTTTCGTTCATTGTAACAGATTTTTCACTTTTGAGCAGGACTACATGGCCAAGTTAAGAGACACCTCAAGTACTGGTGCAGTGTTCTTTGCTGTATGTCGTGGAAAGGTAAAAAATTTATCCTGACAATTATATTGAGTAAAATTCTTGTGATCTCACCTCAGTTATTTTGCTTGATTTATGCTTTCTGAACCAGTATCTATTAGGTTATTAATGTGTATGATTAGAAATTCATGAACAGATGATCAATGTGTTCCTTATTACAAGAATTTTATGGCCAGCCCCCATTCCCTCACTTGGGCAATTTGTCTTCAATAAATAAAAAAACATACAAAAGCAACTTGTGAAAAGATGTCTACTGTCTTTGGCTAAACAAAAGTACGACTACTCATATACCGGTATTCCATGTTATAATGTGTGATAAGTAAGATATGGATCTAATAGTTGAAGGAGTTTGTGCATGAAAAACTGGTTTGCTTCATTTTACCACTTCTGCCCTTGGATAAGCATTCTATAAATATCCATGCGATGGGTGCTTGCAGAGGGTGCCATACTAGGGAAACCACCAAATGACCAAATACTTGGACTTTGTCTCTTTGCATATAATAAGCCCAAGAATAATAATAGTAATATCTAATTTCGTTTTAAGACACCTTACTGACCACCTTGGTTATTTTCGTCATCCTAATAACTGAAAAGTCAGACCAAGTTGACCCAAAAAGGTCATAATTTCATCCCTTGAATAGGTTAGTAACAACTATCATCTCAAGCAATTATTAAGCTGCAATTTAGGATGAAACTACCCACGCTTTTCAATGAACTTATAGCGCAGAGGTGAACCATTAGATGGTGTGCCCTTAATGAGCTTTTCTTACGAGTGCATGATATGACTTGCAAATGTCACTATCCAATTTTGATATAGAAGAAGAAAGAAAGAATCAAAGAAAAGGAGATGCATAAGTGGGTTACTGGATTATATGGAAAAGTGAGCAAAAAGGTAAGGAAGAATTCAGGCAGCAATTCCAGAGTCTGCCTCGAATTTCCAAGCCACTCAAATCATAATAATTTTTTCATACCCATTACAATCTCCTCCCTTTTCTTTTTAGGAGCAATGATATGACCTGCTGTCACAAAAAACATTCTTGAAGTCCAACTGGAACAATGATAAATCATGGTCACAACATGGCTCTAGTAGCCAAATATTCTCACACATATTGATCCACATGAGGTCTAGACATGCTTTATTAGACATGAAATGCTTTGCAGCACATGTAATTAGTCCCTTCACTTCATCTCTGAACACAGCTCCTTATAAGTGGCTGCAGAGTTATTGGGAGGTACATTGCAGGCTAACACACAATGTCGATGATAACACTGGACTGTCTGATGACTCGGAGGGACATGGAAGACAACATAAATAGACTGAGATTACTTGGAGGGACAGCATATCAAGCCTTCAGGTGGCCATGACCAGTCTGATTAGTGTTGTCATGGCAGTAGCATCAAAAACTAGGAGGATTTGGTATAGGCGAACCAAATTAAAAAATTTCTGTGGTTATTGGTGAAAGCTTCTTGCCATGTGAATATCATAGTTCAAAGATTATGTATTATTATTTGGGGGTAACTCCTGAATATGTAGTATGTCGAGGGATTGAACAGATAAAACACCCCCCCCCCCCCCCAATTGAATGAGAAGTGGGTGGGTCCATGTAAATAATCGAGACCTTGCAAACAACAACGCTCCTTCCCATATGGAGTTCGAATCATCAAAAGTCAGTGGATCTGAATTGAATCATGATTATATAAGCTATTCTTAAGAGATTAAATATAGAGGAAATCATGCCCCCCCTGCGGCAACCTTTAGACCTAATTTTATCTCCTAAAGTTATTTATATCAGTTCATCAGCCAAGGTAATGGGATGTGTATTATTGGAATTTTGTGCACTGATCCAGCATGCCAAACCTGGATGCTGGTTTGACCTTAGGAAGTTCTTACCATTGTAAAATGAAAAATCCATGGAACCTTAAAAAATGGAAGTCAGGAACGGTCCCTGGGAAGCTTCCTCTTCCAATTTAAATTGCACTATCTCGGCTTTTGTGGAGATGGTTCTTGTGTATGTTCTGATACATCTGTGTATATGAGCTGCTATCGTGTACCCCCTGAACTTCATAAAACACAATATCTTAAGTCTTCAAATTTGAAATACCTGATTATTTTTATATTATACATTGTTACTACATACTGTTGGTGACCTTTATGCAGTTTAATTCCTCTAATCAAGTTCAGATGCTTATTATATATTAGGTAAGTGAAGGACTAGATTTTGCTGACCATGCTGGTAGAGCTGTTATTGTCACTGGCATTCCATTTGCTTTGAGGAACGATCCTAAGGTATTCTTATGTTGTTGGCTTTCTATGTTTCCCAATGAGATCTGTTAATTTCTGTAGGTACGCTTTTGACATTAAGATATTCTAGTTGGATTATGGATAAAACTTTTATTATATGCAACATCTTGTTTTTCCAAATTCTAAGTCATTAGGCGTCTCCTGTCAGATGTTTAGCTTGTTCAACTCTATGAGTTTAAGAAAGCCAATAATCTTTTCCACCACAAGGTATTGGTAGTGTAGAATGCATAAGGACCTGCTGAGATTAGAAGCTGTACAGCGAGATTTGATTATTCCATGTCAGGGTAATAACTTATTCCACATGCCTCACATTCTATTTGCTTTATGACAGGTCCGGCTGAAACGTGAGTTCTTGGATCAGCAGGTGTCTCAACGTAAAGGATCCAAGGTAATTTTGATATGAAGTAGCAAACACACTTAAATTATTGTTCCATTAGGTGATTTACGGTCTTTGTGCTGAAAGCAGATTTCCTTTTCTAGGCTCTGACAGGAGAAGAGTGGTATAGCCAACAAGCATCACGGGCTGTTAATCAAGCTGTTGGACGTGTTATTCGACATCGTCATGATCATGGGGCAATCATTTTTTGTGATGAAAGGTTCTGTTACTTTATGCTATTCCTCAAGTCCCCATAAGGTTAAAAACGAAAAAGAATGTATATCAGGTCTGTTGAAATGAGTTTTGACTGATCAACTCAATTGAACAACCTAACATACTTGGCTGCATAATATACATGATGTATATGCACACACGTACATGTATTTGCAGTAATTCATCCCTTTTCACATATGTGAAGGTCAATTCTTTTAAATGTTGTAGCCAGCCAGCAAATGGCTTTTTTACCTTTTGTTATGTTTTTATTCAAGTATATAATATTTATATACAGCAAACGAACTGATACCGATTTGAATGTGTTTTCAACAGGTTTACAAAGCCAAGTCATCAATCCCAGATATCACTCTGGATACAGCCTCACATCAAGGTGAACCATCCAATTTGATATTACACTCTTTGCTGTCAAGGTGTCTGATGTGGTTTTCCCAATGCAGTGTTACTCAAAATTTGGAGATGTGGTCTTCACATTGACCCGATTCTTTCGAGATGCTGCAATTACCTGTCCCAAAAAGCAAAAGTTAACACAGATCGAAGAATCAGGTTATGTATCCGTCAAGCTTTATACAAAAAAGTTCTCATTTTATACAGAAATTTCATTCTCTACAAAGTGTTTGTTACTGTCTTTTTGTTAGTTATTATGTCTTATTTGATATGGTATACTATTAGCTAATCTTCTATCTTGGAACTAGGTTTCCATTTTCATTTAAAACATGGAATATTCTTAGAGTTGGATTTCCTGTTGAGCCATTTACATATTTATTGAGGGCTATCATGTTAATAGTTGTTAGCTTTGTTCGACTGCGTTGAAGTTTATTGAACATAATTTAGCTGTTTCTTTGCTTTTTGTACATGTAGAAAACAAAGTCAATCCCACATCTAGAGCCTAAGCCTGATGGTCTTTGCATGTTTTTCATTTTTCAGGAGAAAGAAATAGTCAGCACAAACTCCCACCTCTCGACAAACTTCACCCTGACATATTCCTTAAACCCTTGGTATGGGCTTCAAATCTTGATTATTCTGAGTGCATTCTTTTTCCTGCCTATTATGGGTGCTTTTGGTGCATGGGACAAGACTAAATAGTACAGGATAAAAACTTGTCCAACGTTTCGTGCGACATTAGACTGGGACAGAGTGGAACAAAATTGCGTTTTTTTATCTCACCAAATTAGATGGAACAAAACATCAAGGTGATGGCCTGTAACATCCAAGGCTAACTTTACCAGATATTGTCCGCTTTGTCCATACCTGGACTCACGATTTTAAAACGTGTCTGGTAGAGGAGGTATCCATTCTCTTATATGGCAACCTTAGTTCCCTTCCCCAACCGATGTGGGATCTTACAGTCCACCCCCGTTGGGAGCCCAACATTCTCACTTGCACACAAGTTCGGTTCCTGGCTCGGATGCCATTTGTAACATCCAAGGCTAACTGTACAAGATATTGTCCGCTTTGTCACCTAGACTCATGGTTTTAATACGCATAGTATCCAGTCCCTAAGGCACCTTTAGTTCCCCTCCCCAAACGATGTGGGATCTTACATGGCCAGATGGGACAAGAGTGGTAGATTACTAAACTACCCATGTCAAATTAAAACCCTAAAACCTGTCCCGTCCCAACCTTCCTAGATGTTCCTACATTCTTCATTTTAACGTGCTATCTTTTCTCTGTACTTGATGGATATTACAGATTGCAGCAGCAGATAAATGTTGCTCTGTTGGATCATCATCTATGGCTGATGTCAAGCGAGGCAGCCTTTCCTGTAAGCTTAGCGAAATACTTCCTGCCAACCGCTCAAACATTTCTCTTAATACGCAAAAACAGAGACCGATCTTAAAACATACAAATAATCAACTTTCCGAGGAGAAGCTATTTCCTGGGAAAGCACATGTGCAAGGTGTAAAACCTGAAGTGGTTGATTTGGCCGGAGATGCTTTGCTAGATGAAGAATCAAGCAGCCAACTGACCGCACCCTATTTTTTAAAGAAACGTAGATTAGGAAATGCTAAACATGACAGCTTATTACAACGGTGTGAGAGCTCTTATGACGGTACCAATGAAAGCATACCACATGGCAAATTTTCTTCAAGTCCACAATACGTTAAGAGTGGAAACAAGGAAGTTGTGCAAGAATGTTCAACGTTGCAGGTTAAGAATGAGATGGCCACACAAAAGAGGAGTACTGAATTTGTATCTTCTGAAACCCGAAGTGCCAAATCAACTTGTTCTCCTTGTGACGATGAGGAGAAAAAAGGGTCTACTTTTCTTATTCAGGTAAACAAAATTATGACATTTTCTTTAATTGAGGAAACGGAGAGGGATCTACTTTTTTCGCCCTCGTTTCTATTATTCTTATTTCTAAGCAAAACTAAGGGCCTGTTTCGAATGAGCTTAATAAGCTTAATGAGGGTTCTATCTTAATGGGTAAGGGTAAAATGGTCATTTACATCATTCAGATTGTTTATTCAGTAAAACGAACAAACAATTTAGTTTATCACTACAAACAACTAAAACCATACAGACAGCTTAACCCATACATGAGGCCTGTTTGTTAGCAGCTTAAAGAGACTCGCAGCTTATTCGATCAGCTATACATGACTTTTGGTAGTGGCTTAATGATATAAAAAGTGGCTTGATTAGTAAGCTTATAGGGGGGATCTTATGCAGAAAGCCAAGTTTTTCCAAACCTTCCCGCCCAAGTAAAAAACACGCTTCTTCCATCTAAGAAAAAAACCCTCCAAAACAAAAACCTTCTCAATCTGTCCTTTGATGTTTCCAACAGGTCATGTATAGTCATCTTATTTCACAGAAGAATATCTTTTATATTCTATGCAAGTCTAATTAAGCCGCAAACTTAACAGGTTCGAGAAAAGCTTAGTGATGGAGAATACAAAGAATTTGTGGGATTTATGAAGGCACTTAAATCCAAAGCCATGAAGATAGGCCATGTTCTGCAATGTATCATGAGACTATTTTCTGCCCCTGATAGACTTCCTCTTCTCCAAAGGTACAAACTTCTCTAAACACAGTTGTAGTCTTTTAATACCGGTCTGTACTTCCCTTGGGCGGAGCGACTTTGCTCAAACACACAACAGGTTTGAATCCTGCGGGAGACGGGGTTGAACCCCTTCGCTGGCCTCAATCACCGAGTCAGCTCTGAAATGCTTCCTCACATGTGGTTCCTAGGGGCCGGGTCCCGTGTGGTGCCAATTGGGGTTGCCAATAATCAACCTTATGCTCAAAATAACACTCGGTGCTATATTATGGCATATTTTTTGTACATTCGATGTGTCGAAAATCTCACTGCTTTTTGCATCATTTTTTGGTGAAAGTCTGATGAACAGCTACTTTGCATAAATTCTTCCATTTGATATTATCTTTCTGTGATAATTATGTATGCTGTCTTTTTACCTGGTTTTCATGCCTTTTTTTGTTGGAATCAATTGAAAAAATTGTGTTTTGGTGTGTCATCACATTTTTCTCTTGCTATCTACAGATTTAAGGATTATATTCCTGCAAAGTACCATCCCTTGTATGAACAATGCCTCGAAAAAACCACCAATGCGGCAGATCTTTGACACAAGGTACTATATTCGTATCTGGTATATAACCTAAAATGAGATTTTAATTAAACTATGACCCATGAAACCGTTTTTTCTTTAATTGGCCAGGAGGACATAAATTTAATTAAAAATTTCACTTAAAGTTATATATCTAAATGACCCATGCTATATTTAGGTAGGGTAAATTGCATGAAAAAGTAACATACTTTAACTTGATTCCTATTTTGGTAACGTACTTTTAGAACTTCCATTTTGGTACCTAAGATGTAAAGTTGTAGACATTTAAGTACCTGGGTAACGGGTTGAAGCATTAATCGGTTATCATGCTGATGTGGTATTCAACTCAGTATTATTTGCTAACATGGTTAGTAACATGGATTTTTTTAAATCTAAAATTAGTCTTTTTTTAATCTAAAATTAGTCTTCAACCGGTTACACGGATACTTAAATGTTTAGAACTTTACATCTCAGGTACAAAAATGGAAGTTTTAAAAGTACTTTACCCAAAATAGGAATCAAGTTAAAGTACGTTACTTATTAATACAATTTTCCCTTACATATTATGCCCCCTTCATATGAATAGGAAAAAGAATGAGAAAAATAATTAAGAAAATGATAGAAAAGAGTAAAAAAACCTAAATATCCTTAGGTTTGTTAGGATTTGAAATGGTACTGAATATTTTCACATTTTTCATTGATTAAAGTACTTTACATTTTCATGCAATTTGCGTAGTTAGGTGTATAACCTTAAACAAGATTTTGGTTAAATCTATGATCCTGTGACGAGTATGAAGCCGTTTTTTTCTTTTATAGTCCAGGAGGTCTTGGAATTAATTAAAATCTCATTTTAAGTTATATACCTATATGACCCCTACAAACATATATATTACTTTCCAATCAGCTTGTGCGCACCTCTACTAATCCCATTGGAGCCATGGAGATAACGATCTGGAAATCAATCTCCAGTAGCCGTGAGGACACTCGGACACGTAGCTTTTATTTGGTAGTTGTACAAACAAAGGTTTTTAACCCATTTGTTATCTTGCAGCTTCAAAGGTGAAGCGCCATTAACTACTGGAAGCTGGATGAGACCATTGTTATTGAATAAGTCGTTATTGAATAAGTCAAAAGGCAGTTATTATTGAAGTTGCCAAGATTTGGAAAGCACAAGTTATACCAGGAATGCTTTTTTTTTTCTGCATTCGAATTTCTTTAAATTCATTATGGTAGTTGAGGGAGAAAATTGTCGAAATAGATTTCTTTTTCAAATTTGTAATACCTGAAAGTGTAAAAGTTTAAAATTCAAAAGGACAGGGGGATTGATTGTATTTCCCTTGAAATAAAAGGACCTGTTTTGTAATTATGCAAATTTTCTAATGGTGGGTTTTAGGTTTATTTATATAATATTAGAAAGGTACTCATGTAATAAAATATATCTCGATTTTAATATTTTGTTTTATTCTTTTGGTCTTAGTCGATATTATAATATAGATTTATGTGATTTTGAACAAAAAATAATGTTTTCTTTTTAAAATATAAATTTAAAGATATCATAAAATTTTAAAAACATGAAAGTTCTCAATTTTTTTGTGTAATTTTTTAATTAATTTTTTTATTATAATTTAATTTAAGTTTAATGACAATGTAATTTGTTTTTGGTTTAATAATATAATTTTTATAAAGATAATAATTAAATATTTTGTTAAAACTCAATAATTATTCTAATTATATTTTAGATATATTTAAAATGAAAATTTTATTGTGTATTTGATTATATTTATTTACAGTTAGTTATACGAACTCAAATATGGAGCTTAATAAGTTGTATTAATGCACAATTTACTTGTAATCTTGAATTTGAAGTAATATGCATCAATAAACAATACTTCATGTATAAAAGATGGTTTTTAAGAATTTTTATCGAATGCTTTATAATATAGTATAGTATAGATAAGTTTCATTTTTTAAAGGTTCACCATCGTTTGGAGTTTGGTATGCGGCCGCACATGATAAAATTTAGTGAAAAAACACTTGCAAATATCCAATTCTTCAAATAAAATAATTAAAGTATAATGTCTAATGTCTAATCCATAAAAAATGCAAGTAATTAAAAGATAAATAAGTCGGTACCATGGTACTATGTGGTACGCGACTTCTAATATCATGTATCAACCAAGTTTGCATACTTGGTACAGTACTACCAACCGAACTATACCAACTAAATTGGTACGGTTGATACAGATGTTGGTTGGTTTGGTTTGGTATAAAATTGTCACCCCTACATTTAATCTCAAATATTATAGGTTAATAATTGGCTACAATATATGCCAAGATATAGATAACAGTAATTCATGTTGGATTTAGCAAGAAGAACGAACGAAATTGAAAATAGAGCCATTTTGTGCTCGAAAACAATTTAATGGCATCGAGTCATGGACTAGGTCGTGGGCAAAAGGGAACTAAACCAAGGTCAAAGTGGTATTAAGGTTGGGGAAAACCTAAGTCATGGTTCGGGTATAACCAATGTGCAATTGGTGTTGGCTGAAGTTGTTCTAGGTGTGTGTGGACTCAAATGAGCTATATATATATATAAAGAAAGAGAGATGAGGTTTAAATTACGAGCCATGCAATTCACACAATCATGATAATTGCCATAAATATCTTTCTTATTTCATAATATAAGACTTAATATGGTTTGTATTTGAAATTACCTATATGTGTGAACGAAAGTTCAATTGAGAACTCTTTTTTCATTGTGAACTAGGGTACAAAGGAGAATGTGACACGTGTCACAAGTTGTCCATGTTCATCATGAACAATGAATATGAATGTGAACATCCATCAGCTATTCATAATAAATAATGAGGAATAACCTATGAATGTATGAGACACATGACATACTCTCCTTTATCCCTCGAATACATAACACATGCCCACATATACATATATATATATATATATATAGTAAGAGAATAGATAAGTCTAGACTATGTAAGATTTTTGGTAACTTTTTCATATCTAAAAGGGTATATACGAAATAATGTAATAATAGAATATATATGAGAAAAAAAAAAAAAAACAAGAAACAAAGAAAGGAACAGGTGGTTTGAAGGTTGGGTTGGCGCGTCATCAAGAGGGCTTCTATTTATAAGGCAAGTGTTTGTTGTTCCTTCCATTTTCCATCCCTTTTCCTTCACATCCACAGATGTGCTATCCTGCCTCTATTACTCTTAATCATGAATTCGACATCAGAATTAGGAGGTTGCCAGCAGCAGCTGCCCTCAACCACCATCAGCATGTGGTGGTGGATGGTCATGGTCATGGTGGTGCTGCTCAAGTGAAGAAACAGTGTCTGTGTTCACCCACAGTTCATCCTGGTTCCTTCAGGTGCAGACATCACCATTCAAAGTATGTATGGGTTGGTGTTGGTCCCAATCCCAGACCCACCCAGTAAGTAAGTACCTACTCTATGTCCTTAATTTGTTAATATCTAGGGATGCTGTGTAGAATCTAAATCATCATAACAAAATCAATGTGAAATACCTCTAAATATCCTAATATTGCTTAATCAGCACAACCCAACTCACTTTTTCATGACTTTTCCGAAAAGTGTTATAGTTTACATCTCTTTATATAAATGTTTTTCAAATAATGTCATATAATTGAAAACATAAATAGAACAATTTATTTTATGTGTTATTAAAAAGTTGTTAGGATGCCCAAAGGTGTTATGTCAATTTATTGCAATACTTTTATATAGTACATAAAATTGTTTGTTACTATAAATTTTGGTCTTGTAAAAGAGTAGTCTGTTATGATATTTAGACATATTTGACATCTTATAAAACCGATTTTATTGTAATGAATGCTGTAAATATATAGTTTTACCTAAAGCTATCATATGGGTACTCGATTGTTTCATCCTTTTCTTTTTCCATGTACCAAATCTTGTACATTTCCAAGGATTTATTTATATCTATAAACAAGTTGTGCATAGTAAAGTGTGACTCGGTAATTCAGCAATAATGTCCCTAGCATGTAACTCAGTTGGCAAAGGGGTGTATTGATTTTATTTAAATACAAGACATGATATGGGTTCGATCTCAGGCCCCGGTAGCCTCAATCGTCGAGTGAGCCAAAAAAAATTTCCCCCATATTGGTGTCCTTGAAAGCGGGTTCCATATGGATTTTGAAGAATCTGTTGAATAAAAAATCCCCAAAATCTTCATTTTATTTAAAAATTTGTTGGAGATGCTCTAAAACAACAATCTGTTCTTTTGTCAATCAATCTGCCCAATGTGGTCCTAATTGTCATGATCCGTTCATTAATTTTAAGAGATCAACATGGCATCCGGGGACGGATCCAGCAAGTTTGATAACGAATTAAAACCAAGGGGGGATCCAGTGAGCTTGACCTATTAAATAAAAGATGGCTCTACGCTTACGAAAATGTCATGAATTTAATTAAAATCTTATTTAAGGTTATGCGCCTAATTATATACGTATCATTTTAATAAAGAAATTTAGAAGTTTGTATTTGATTATATTTAGGTGATTTAAACCGTTAGCTAGGTTTTTGAATTTTCCCAAATATAACTCAAATCTAGAATCATATTCATACGAGAATAGTAACCAAATGAGAGAATACGAAAACGGTCGAATCACATGTGATTTTAGTAAGTAAAATCACATATGATTCATGCCACCCACATCGCCCGCACACATTTACATTGACGGTTAGTGTAAAATCACATTTGATTTCGCACGTGATTTGACAGTTTTCATATTCTTTTATTTAGTTGTTGTTCTCGTATGAACTTCCCTCCTCTAAATACCTCTAAATTGTCAATTTGGCCGATTCAACACCTGGAAAAGAAGGTTCACCATCTGTGAGAAGAAAACTGCAAAGGCAATTAGTGTATGTGTTGGTGATCTAGGTGTCATCAAACTATTTGGGGTAATTTAGATTTACAAGAGATTGATGAGGGGTTTAAGCTATAATAAAGGTTAGAAGGTTGTGGAGTGTAAACTTGTATATGCTAACTTGAACCCGAGATTGTCATATGGTGGGGGATCAAGGGGGTCGCGCCCCCTTGCGGGATCTTGCGGCAGTGCACCGAAACATAATCCAGTATGCACGAGTAGCAAACACTAAAGTTGTTCAGTTCAACTTTAGTGTTCGAGGTTCATCGTCTGAATTTCAGTGACATTTATCGGTGAGCTTCAGTGTCACTGATCAATTGAGCAATCAGTGCATGTGTTGGTGGCACAGATTTCCAACAGGTTCTTCAAAACAGAGATTTTGGGGATTTTTACAAGTTTTTTACTTCTAAATCTTTTTAAAACCTTCTCTAAAATGGAGAAAGTAATATGGAGTTGAATGTAATTATTTTTTGGGAGAATTTGATATACAAACAACAGAAGATCTATGTGTTTTTGCTATCGCTTTTGGTCTAAAAACACTGCGTTTTTTGGATTTTTTCCAACCCGAGGGCTTTCATAGAATCGAAATATTGCTTTTGAAAAGTGATTGTACACTATCCAAGTTTGATTCGAATGAATCATCACGGTATTGATAACCAGTTTTCTAACAGTATGATTATAAGAGCTCCACTCAAGAACATAAGGATCAGGAAGAGATGAAATACAAAAAAAAAAAAAAAGAGGCAATTATCACTCGAATTTTGGAAAACCTGCTATAATTCACAATTCAGTTCCCAAATGGAGCCTCGTTAATGAACATCAGCCAACGATCTATGATGAATTGCTGTAGATAATGCAATCATAACGTATTCAAACATCAAGCGGCAGTTGCGTACATACCTCAAGAGAGAAGAAGAATCCAAGCTTCGTGCGAGTCTCGTGTACCGCACTCATCGTCCCCAAATCTTCAATTAGAAAAGGTGGCATCCGATTTGGAGTGAATGTGAGGAACCTGGATGCTTTCCCCTTGGCAAAACATGTATATGATTTCATAGAGATTTGAGTTTTGGTGAAAGATGATGAATGATTATTTCAATTTGTTTTTATCAAAATAATGATGTTTAAGAAAATTTAAATATAAATAAAATGTTTTATAATAGTTATGATCCATTCCATCCATATTAAAGATTTTGAAAAAGGACGTTCGGATAGCCCATTATCATTCATATTATCATATACATATGCATACATAGACTTGGATCATAGGAGACAAATGGTTTTTTATGAGATCTATAAGACTAATTCTCAATCTTTGGATTAGATCTACAATCTAAACATTCATAATCACAAAATTACCACGAGACTTCTCAATAATCACAAAATTGCTACCATGCAACTTTAGACCATTAGATCATTAACTTACAAAGTTGATCAATGAACATAAATTGGTCTTACGGGTCTCACGAAGAACCCTTAATCTCACGTAAACCCAACCCTATCTATCTATCTATCTATATATATATATACATATGTATATATATATATATA